GATGAGACATCATAGGAATTGGACGTGAAAACTGGTGATGGAATGTGAGCGGTGAATAGAGTGCAGGAGAATAGCTTCTGATGGAAGGGGCTATTCAGAAGGCATACACGCATTACAGATTCCCATACACAACTCTCCTTCAGCAGTCTATCAATACATCCCATTTCTAATTTCCATACTCTCTTATCACTCTCAATTCTGAAGTTACCGATTGCACTACACATCAGTTGGGTCGTGGCAATTTTCTTATTCACTGCAGTCATATCACTGATTCACTCTTATTCATAACTTTTCAAGGAATATGTGATATTTTCACTTGTTATCACTGCACTTTCAGTTTATTTAGGTTTTCAGTGCAAATGAATCACATTGAGTGATTTGGCGGAACGCGACCAACTTCTCTTGTCAAAATAAATCATTCTTCAAGCTCAAATCACAGATTTGTGATTCACTGAAATTACTGATGGCTGATAAAGAAAGCTTGCGGTGATACTTATGATCGGTGGACGATAGTAAGGGATTTGATTGAGATTATCAGCTTAAAAATGGCAATTTGAAGATATGAGCTCGAATAGGGCTCATCCAACCGATAAGATTTCCAGTACTAGACATGTCCCTACAAAAAATTGCACTGATAAATGATATTAACCTAACGATACGTGATTCGTTCGTATTTTGAATAGTGAATTATTAATCTAAATTCTAGTTAAGGAATTAGTTCATCTGAAGCGAAGAGTGATCACGTTTACCGCTCTTTGGATGGTATTTCATTGAGCTGAAGTGTTGGTGTGAGAATCGATTATTCCAGATTAAACACACAAAAGTTGAGATGATGGATAAGATAACACCATACAATCAGCCAATCGAACGGCACCGTGTTTGGAATCAATCAGTTGTTCCAATCATTTCAAAACAGATTTCTTTGATATCATTCATTTCATTTTTCAAGTCAGCATGAGAAGTGTTTTGTCATATCTTGTTGATGGAACTTTCAAGAAATCAATTCGTGTCATAATTTAAAACAGTTGGGTCAACATAAATTTCAAATTGTTTACACACATGAGAATTCGTTATCAGTGCATTATTAAATTGTACCAAACTGACTATGTTCAAGGTTATCACCGCAGTTGATTGCAGCCGTTAAAACGAAAACAAAATTGATATTATTTGAGTTTTTAGTCAAACTGTAAGAACCTCAATAAAAAAAGTGGATTTTATGAAAATAAAGCAATCGAAAATCAGGCCACTCGGATGCAATTTCATCAGTCACCGTAAAATGTGCTCTTCAACCATTTCAGTTGTTTGATGATCCTCATAATCTGCAGCAAATCATGAACCTAATAAAAATTCACTCATTTATCGCATTGATCACATCATATCAAAGGCATATAAAATCAATCTTGAAATGCTGAATCGTTCTGCAAAACCATGAATATTTTATTGGTCGAGATGGTTTGTTGGATATTTCTGAACAGATGAATGCTAGAAGGTTGACTTGCTGATCAAAATTTCTATACATGAAATTCCCCTAAAGATGCATACTGTTCGTATGTCCGTTTTTGAGTCTACTGAAGAACCGAAATAATATTCAATTGGGTATAATCCTTCGACTGAGTTCTACTCAATCTTCTTGTGTGCAAATCGTTCTTTTGGTTTCGTGTAATAAGCGGTCACGTAGAAGTGAATGAAGAGCACAGCGAATGATGTGTATTCGATTAATCCGATCGTAATGTTACCGTATGATTGTTGACATCTGAAAGTAGCGTGGATGAACTGTCGTTAGATGCGAAGATCACATATTAGAGATAATTTCGACGAGTCAATTTCAATGCTCTCAATGATTTTTATCTGCACTAACTTATCGAAATATCAATGTTCCGATAATCTAGGACAATTCAAAATTTGAGCAACTCTCGATGAGTCCACTACAAACAAATTGGTTAGCAGAAAATGAGCGTCTAATCGTTACACCGTTCAAAAATCGCACCATCTCAACACAACTAATGGTTAAAAGTTTCTGGGCGACTATATTTGAATTTTGTTCTTAGAGAGCGAATTAGTTGTTTGAACGTGAAGCAGTTTGATTGATGCGTGCTTCCACTGACAGGAAGCAATGCATGTATAACGGAGTGTCGTTTTGTAATGGTGATAATGTATATATTGTGAAATCAGTAAACGGCTGGATGGAATCAGCGAAGGAAAACGCATTAGGTTGATTGAAAAAACAGTGAACTCGTAGCTAAGCTTGAAAACTTACGGTAACTTCTGTCGTGTTTTGTAATCAAAAACGAGACATTCAATGGCTACTCCGACAAACATCTGAAAGATCTGCAGAGATGTCACGAGCATTGCCATTTTTCTGAAAGTTTTTTGAATCCGTACATAATCAAATGATTCATTCGGATGCCATTATTGCATCTTTGATTTTGCAAATCATGCGAGTCACTATCAAGTTATGCCGTAACGTCAGCAAGCGTTTGCTTTACGCATCTTTCAACCAGTTCTCACCTTCGACAACTTCAGCAACCGGTTCACGATCAACGTCGTTAAAAATTTCTTTAATTTTTTCGATCTGATGATGAAAACTTTCATCAGATTTCAACTGTCAATGGAAAAACTGCTTGAAATGTTTTTTAAGAATCATTTCTTAATGAACAAAATTCTCAGAATCAGAAGACGTCGTCATTTCTTAGTGAACTTGAATTTTTTTTTTTAAAGAATGATAAGAAGACGTCATTCGTAGACATATAAGGCATCATTGATGAATTCTCTCAATGCAACTATTAAACACACGAACTTTGATGGACGTAAACCGTAGGCCGTGCATGCGTAATAGCTATACATAACTGAATGAACGAAGTAGTTCAGACTTATGAAGAATCGGCCTGGTGCGGCGTGTTCGGCACCTGAATTCATTGATAACACTACATCATTTATTTCCCGTTCATTATATTTCTCGGTTATCAGATTCAGATTAGCTTCACTGCACTACGAGTACTTAAAATACCGCCGATTTCCCAAAAAACAGATTTCGGCGGAGAGTTCCAAGAAGAAATGCAGAGAAGAGTGCATGTGCTCTTATTTTCAATGCTCCAATTATAAATTATGGATGTTCTCTGCATGTTCTTAAACTGATTCATAAGTTTAGATCACTACAAAATAGTTTGCACTCGCATCAACGCAGCATGTTTTTTGTTGCCCATAAATCGTACGTACAAATTATCAAGAAATGAAATAGTGATCATCGGAAGTTGATTGTATCGTGACGTTTACTACGAAATTAGCCGCAAAAGTGTTTTTGTTGAATGTTTCATGGACTTTCACCTGTGGAAGAAATGANTTCCAGGAATGAGATGTTCAAAAAACTAAAAGAAATTAATGACGTGACCGTGGAATTGATCGAACGAAAAAACAAATCAACCAGCATGAGCGGCTCCGATGATAACTGCAACATGATGATAGTAATGCAGGAAAATCAGTTTCCGTTTTCTCAACACAATGAAGAGCGTATCACCGAGTTCAACGATTTTCGATAGCGCAAACAATAGGGCCCAGAAGGCAGCCACACTTTTCGGATGAATCGTGTAACATGTCGATCGATACATTCCCAGTGTGACAACGCTGTGAATGAGATCCTGTCAAGAAATAATTTTCATTGTGAATTATCACTGAAAATGTTCATTTAGGAAAATTTTTGGTCAGTTATAGATTAGAATTGAGCAGTTTATCGGCTTTATTTTCAGCTGCCCATTCATGCTTTCTAAATGATTTGAGTTTTTCAAAATATTCTTCCCATAACTCGTGACAAGAATTCAAGATATCAAAATTGTCACGAAACACGATACTAATCTTATATTCATTATATTAACTACAGTCTAATTCCAGGAAAACATCATGAGTCATGAATGCATCGTGAATGCTTTTTTCGCAGAACCTCTAACACAATCACTTTCGCTGTGAAATTATCCAATTAGCGTTTTTATTGCAAGTGTTCAATTTGAGTCAGCGAATGAGTTTGGAACAGATTCTAAGAGAGAAAGAGAGGCGTAAGATAATGACCCTCTTGAAAACAAGTGAAACTACATCAGTCACAAATAATGGTGTACAAATATCGGAATGACAATTGCTATTCGAAAACAGTCATCAAAAGATCTCAATTGAAACAAATCTGTCACCTCAGTGAAACGTATAAAACCAAATGTACTGAAAATGGCCAACGACGCGTTCCATATGAACAACGGCGTTCTCAAATCGAATGCTTCACGCTTCTCCATGAATTTTTGAATGAATTTAATCATTATAAAATAGACAACTGAGATTGTTATTGAGTGATACCAATTTCGTTGTAAAAATAGTGTAGCCGCAACGGGATCGTCGATTTTTTCAAATGGCAATGCATACCTGAAATTGTGATTTAGCATTATTGACGGATGAATCAGTGCTGTGGAAGATTTTCACAATGCAGTCAGTCAGTCACCTTCTAATAGAATGATAGATTTATTTCTTGAAAGTTGAAGTTTCTTTGATAGTGGTGTTTTTATTGAACGAAATCTAAAACTTAATTTGCAAACTTTTCGCTCTGACACTTTTTATATTCCGATTAAAATTGATCAAATTTGGCCAATTGATCGAAGCTTCCATTTTCTTTTCTTTCCCTATCCAATTACTATCATTTTGACATAGAAGGCAGATTATACAGTTAACAATTAATTTAGTGGTAATTAACGATTCAAGATTCTTTATAAAATCTAACAGCCGTTGTTTTAATCTTATGAACTGGTATCGCTCATAAAGTATTTTAATTTCACTATTACGTAAATCAAAAAAGTTTGCGTTAATAATGTCATATCAATTATGTTTTTTGGACAGATGAATATGGATGTAACATACTGATCTCATAAAATGTTGCTGTTGCTTTCCAGTTTTTGTTTAAAAATTAATGAATTGAAGACGACTCACTTATAAATATAATCGGTGTGTAGTGAGTGATTGGAATTTCGATAGATCTCGAAGTTGTTGATTTGCTTCAGATGCCAACGAACAAAATCGATCGTCTCACTCAGCATTTCTGCCTTTAATTTTTAGTTTCTTGTTTCAGTGGAAATTTTCTCATCAACGGAACAATGCAGTTACTGATTCATTAATTTGTCACGTTATAACTTCAAAATAATCAATTAAAAACGCAAAAATTTCTTAACGAAGAATGCGACAAACTGTTCCATACTGGCAGACAAATAGCAGTAGACAGTGCAAAATTGATTTTCAAGAACGATAACTTGTAGTGAATGTGCTGGATACTTACTTCAATATGCGCTTATTCGATCTCGGTTAGCATGATTATTATGGAAAACAATTTTTATAGATTTTACTGAAAAACTAAAATGTGATATGCTAAGAAAAGAACAAAATTTGGAATGAAGGTAATATTGCTGGGCTGTGTTTTTCTATTCACGTAAACGGAAATGACCAAAAAATAGTCCAGAAAATGAATTATGAAACCTATTCAAAGATTGTTGCGTTCTCGATTGCATCTAATCAACAAAGAAAGTGATTCGATGCGATTGTTTGTTACCGACAAAATGAACGAATAAATCCGCACTAACAAACAGGATTGATCATCTTTTGTTGATTTGATCCATTTTGTGTGCAAGGATAAAAGTGAAAAGTTTGAAGTTGCGATGGACACAATATCTTCAAAGATGAATAATAATAACAATAATAATAATCTCATTTCATTTTTATGCTCACATTTCAAAGATATTCATCCAATCATCCTTATGTTCTTTAAATCTCTCAAATCAATTCGTACACATTCAATAAATACCCCTCCCATCGACATTTTGTTCTATGCGTCAATTGATTCAAATTTTGTGCTTCTTTATTCCACTTTTTGAACATGAAGGAGTCCACTCATCCACTTCAGCTAACTGGTTTTCCTTCGATATTCGAACAATTTCAGTGCAAAACTGAACAAACTGATGATCATAATGCACCTACCATTTGAATGAACGCTGAAACGCAAATGGTGTTGAAAACTACAATGTTATGGAATAAAATTAATAAGAGTACTTGTCGGAAATACAGTACAACACTATTTCCGAGAATACACCGGAATTGCGCTTATTTTCTTCCGGAAAATTAGCGTAAATTATGCAGCACTTGGTTTAGGATGAATNAAGATTTTCGAACAAAATACAGTGATGTTTTGAAGAGTGATTACCCTGAGGTCAAAAGACATTCACAGTACTAGATGTAAAATGCACAATCAACCGAAATACTTCTTCCACTAGAGTATCGATTACTTGAGGATTAGGATTGATGGTATTTTTATGGAGAAATAGCTAGCTCCAAAACGGTCTACCTCGTTCTAGGCGCTTGGGCTAGCTGGAATCAAACATGGCCGAAAAAAATTTGACTGTAGAACATTAAAATAAAGAACAATGGCATCAACCGATTGTAACTTTCTATCGCAATACCTTCCTATTAGTTCGAGCCATAACAAAATCAAGTCGTCCGATCATTAAAAGATTTAAAGAAAAAACTCATTACAGACCACCGCAAATCGCAGGGTGTGCGTGCAACGGTTCAACCAATTACAAATAGTTATCTTATTGTTATGAGAATATCAACTAATCAACGATGGAACAATTAAACAGGTTTGTTGGTGGTTACGAGTGTTGTCGAGTTGATTGGGTTTTCTTCAGTTAACGTGCGTTCCTCTAACTTGAAATAAGGCAATAATCAATACACTCATAAAACATTTCGAACTGATCTGTCAATATGCGGTAATTAATTCATTGTAATCTTTATTAAACTGGCTTCAAAAATCATGTACGCCGTTTCTTCTAACAATTTGCCAGCAAATTGACGCAAATTTTATGCAATCGGTTTTGTTTAAAGAGTGAGCATTTTTACAATAAAGATACATTTTACAACACAAACATATAAATGATCTCATAATTTTATAGAATGATTAGAATTATGCATGAATTAAATAAAGGCCATCGTAAGTTGTGTATGAAATAAGAGTTTTACTGTTTCTATGATTAACAAGTCATGGTAGAAACATAGAATTGATATCATAATTCGAACGTGAAATCTCGCATCAGAAGTTTCAGTCGAATAAAGAAAACTCCAAAAACTAGCATTAGTTGCAAGCAAAGCGATTGTGTTTTTCAGTCGGATGATAACCGAAATGTTGTGATTCTCGAGAGATGAAACGAAGAAAAGTCCAAACAGAAAAACAACGTTCTTACAATCTCAATATCTGGAATGTACCTTTTCGATTTTGATTAGGTAAATCGATGACAATTGATGATCATATTTTTCAGGGTCACTGCTATCGTTATCACCGACTGTAAACAAAATGTCACAATTGTGCTTTGCGGTTTTCGGAAACGATGAAACTATCGCTAGAATCTGCACTTTGAAATTACTGCACTATTTAAGTTCGCCGAATTTTAGTTTTCAGTTCTTTTCATTGCTACGACTTCATATCGTTGATCTTCAATTATTTGCTAGACTCGAGAAAATGCATTCAGAATTTTTTCGGTAGCAATGTTAATGTTTTACGAGCGATGTTGTTGATTAATGTCGACAGTTTCAATGTTCTTAGATATGTATAAACCTTCAGAATCAACCGGAATTCGAGAAACAGAGCATTCGCCGAACGATTGTCGTAAACAATCGAATTATGCGAAAGTGAAAGTGCTGATTTGTTGTTTTTTCACAATGGGTCGTCGTTCTATGTGGTGGTATGTGAATTTGGTGCATTCAGTATGCATTGTTGGTTCATCTGAAAATTCTTCTCTACTGGTATGAATTCATTGTCACCTCTCGCCATGAGCATATCTGGTTGTAAATTCGCCAAATATTGCAAAACCTTGCTCAAGGAACCTCAAAATTTGCAAAATCTTTCCACTTGTAAACTGCCTTATAATGGAATGACACAGAGTNAGGAACATTCGCCATTGTTTATGCTGATATTATCACACCGATATTTCTTCACATCAAAATAGCCAAGCAATAACATTTCATTAGGCATGCAAAAATGCAAATGAACTTGAGATTAAGTTCAAATATGAAAATGCTAACAAACTGCATCAGTGAAATGTTGAAATATTTGCGAGTAATCGAATGATTTTGCGAGGTGCAACTCAAACATTCGTCATTATGAACAAAGAAGAAAGACTCTCAATAAATATCACATATGACGATAATCGTAAACATTTTCATATTGTGACAATATTCTTTGAAGTTTGTTATCTCACAAGGAATAAAGAAATCAAAGAGATAGAAATTTCTTCTGATCAACAAAAAATGATCACATTGCAGGTGAATTCATTCGAATTCATTACAAATTATTGAAAGTTGATCGAGCATGCAGATGAAACTTCGATGCGTTGAATGCACACAACTATTTTCTTTTCTTAATCACGCCTTCATGACATCAGCTATTGAAACTAAGTTTATACAATGAAACCCTCATATTTATTATTATCATTNGACAATTTTTTCATTCATTTGAATGTGAACCTCCAAATCGAGTTCAAAAAAAAACCCATGTGCTTACTGAAAAGTTGAACTTGTAAGTATTCCTATCAGAACGATTACGGGACTCCAACATTAGCAACACTAACTAGCAGAACTGATCACTCTACTCCACGGATAGACGTGTTCTGAAATTGGATTAGAGGACATCAATGAAATCATACTAGCGCAATCACGTAAATTGCTCTTAAATCACTTGTATCGAGCAATTCAAATCCATTTCGCATCAATAATCAACGAATCTTTTTCCGTTCGAATCGTTGTTTCGGTTTCAGGAAATAATTTTTGATGAAGAACTGAATGAAGAGTGCAGCGAACGTTGTGCTCACGATGAGAGCCAAGCATAAATTACCGTACGACTGTTGGCAACTGAAACTTGACTCTGCTTTCATTAAGCTTCAGATCAGACGGTTATTTTAGATCAAATGCCCATGATTCCAACCAGTCTGATGTAAAGTCACGAGGGAGGACAGAGTGGTTTGGGTGCACAGATGCAAATAGTGAAAATTTGAATAGTGCCGATGAAACATCTCATTTGATTGCTACGAATAAAAAATTCAATAGTTCTTAGATGAATTTTGTTGTGAATTTGAG